GACAGTGAACTTCACTCAAATACAGTTCCTCAAGAAACAGAAGGGATGGAAAATAGGGAAAGAGATTCACAGAATGCTGAAGAATTAAAAGGAATCTGTAATACATCAAGGGATTCAAAATAAAACAGCAAAAATATGCTGAGCAAAGAAAAAGTGATATTGACTCGGGATTTTGTTTTAAATATAACTGAACTAATTATCTACTGCAGTGTAGGTGTAATAAAGTTGATTCAATTGTTTGTGTGTATTGGTGGGTGTTTAGTTTTTGTATATTTTATCTGTTGTTTATGTTTTACCGTAGTGGCTGGTTATTTTTAGCGTGAGTATAAAAGTGACCGGTTAGGCCAGAATGGTCAGATTAGGGAGCGGTAACAACATCAGCCGGATTCCACTTTTATACTTGTCCTATACGTTCATAGGGTGTGGCGAATATTGCAGTTATAAGGGCTATTAAACTGGAAGCCATTGGAATAAGGAAGGCTTGTTTGGACTGGCATATTTTTTCCCAGCAGGCACACAACGTTGTTTAAACGTTGAATATTAGTTGAAGTTGGGTTTAGATGTTGATAAATACATAAAATATTGATTCAACGTTGACGTTTCAACGTTGAAAATGTAACGTTGATTCAACATTGAATTCAAATTAAATTGAATTTTGTATTAAACGTTGCTTGGTGCCAAATTAGAAAATGAATTCTTAAAATGTAGGTTATTGCTGGAGTGTAGGATTTAAACGTGACGTTTTTGCCGTCAAATTCAATTGTGACATATAGCTACATCCCAGCAGGCACACAACATTGAATAAACTTTGAATCAACGTTGTTTTTCTATGTTGATTCAACATTGATTTTATGTTAGATTTTGAAAATTTGTATCAACGTTGAAGTCTTAACATTGAATCAACATTGATAATCAACGTTGATTATACGTTGAAAAAGCAGTTGATTCAACATTTATTCAATTATTTATTTTGGAAAGGTGGGTGTCATATAGTAATAATATATTTACTTAAAATTTTAACCGTTTCATTGCACGGTTGCTAAGATGCCTTCATAATTGTCTGATAAGACTGATAGCATTCAAAGTACCAAGTAGTAATACTACTCTCAGTTTTCTTAATCGGTTTGCTAATTGAGACTTCTGAGTAGTCAATTTGATGAGATCAAACATATGATGGAAACATTACTTTCTATTTTTTTTTTTTTTGCAAATTTCTTTATACTTATTTTATTATATTTAACAATAAAACATTTAAATCCAACATCACATGCCTTATAAATTGAATATGTTGTATCTTTTAAAGTACCATTTTAAAAATGGTTTAATATTTCAAGTACTTAATACAGTATTTTAATTAGAATGACTTTTTTCTCACGTGAAGAAATATTTAGAAGAAAGATAACTCCTCATCAAAGATATATTTTTTTCTTACAACCACATGTATACAACATTGTGATTTTCTGACTTAGGAAACATCGCTCCGTTGTAATAAATCGTTACTCTTTCTATTCTCTGTGTTCAATTTCTTCATTTCATGATCTGCACATACAAATCATTTCTGAAAAAATAAGCAGCGCTTTATACTTCAAACTATTTTCCATGTGGCTCTAATGTTATTGCTGTTTATGAAAATCAATATTACAAATTTAAGGTGAAATTTATAGCTGAGGGTCAGGACCCCTGAAATGAAAACATACGGTATATCACTATCCGAAAAAAAATTATATATTATAAACAGTAAGTGTTAATTTCCTATCAATAATTCATTGTGTTACAATAATTTCCACCAAAATACATTTTACAAATTAATCATGTTACAAAACCCAAGCATTTACAAACATTTTGTTTTTTCACATGTGGTCATGAAATAGTCCAGAACATGAAACCATTCCAAGGTAAGATGCAAATTTTATACATGTTATTCGGTACAACTTTTGATGCACCAGATATGCATTTCGACAAATTATGTCTGTTCAATGATACTATAGTTCTCTGACATGCCGAAATGTTTTCTTTAAAGAGTATTTTTTATTAAATCTTGGTGTAGTGTCCTTTCGGTTGTGTTATGCCGTCTTTTTGAATATTTTCCGGATGTCCTACTGCGTATCCTCTTAATTCGTACTTTGACAAATTCGTACTGAATTCATATTTATCATTGAATGTGTAAAATTCCTATATTTACCATCCTTGTTAGTTATAATAGTTAGTAATGATATACGGTAGTGCGACTTTGTCAAGTCCGACCTCGTTATGGTCCGACAGTGTTATAGTCCTACATGATCATAGTCCAAATTATCTATCAGCGAAAAATAGGATTGGCCCGCTCAGCGAAGATCCGACGTTGAATCAATGTTGGCAATTCAACTCAATTTGAATTCAATGTTGATTCAACGTTAAATTTTCAACGTTGAAAAGTCAACGTTGAATCAATATTGTATCTAGATTTATCAACGTCTAAACCCAACTTCAACTAATATTCAACGTTTAAACAACGTTGTGTGCCTGCTGGGTGTAGTACATATATGTAACACGGCAATCATTATTAAAATTTAAGGCACCGCAAGTTAAAATTCTGTCTAGAGATCTTTTCCTTAATAACATGGTAACATTTTATAGAATTTAAACTAATTTTCAACATCAATTTTTTATCCAGCATTACAAAATTTGCCATTTTACGTATCTTAAAAACTTTGCGACATTGAACCTCCAAACTTTGTGACACATCGTCTTAGTCAATGTCCCCACAATAAATCGGCTTAATATCAGAAACCCAACATACATATCGACACAAAATATCAATCTAATTTAAAAAATAGTTCCTTGCACACAAAAAGGATCACTGACATGCCATTTCAAAATTGATTTTGCTCATGAAATTATTTCTTTTAAGTTACCGATGACATTTCATGTTCCTTCCATATTTCTTCGGATAACGCTTATCTACATCGCTGTCTTGCATTTTGAACAACGCGTTCACATCATTCGGATAGAACAACTTCACAGTTGTAAAACTTTACATCATTTACATCATATTTTCAACTGTTCTGCTAAATTTTATGTTTGTATTGTTTGTTTTATGGAAATTATCAACATTTTGTTATTGCGTGTGCGACGCTCCTGTTACCGATCTACATGCGTTTTTGACGTAATGGAGTGAATAGTCGAATTAATACATTTGATAATTGGAATATTTTTATCAATATTTTTGTTAAAATGTATTTAGTATACAATTACCGACCAAATGATATATAGTTTTCATATGGTGAATTGTTTTAAAATTATGGAAATAGCGCAAATGCCGCCGTTATAGTAACTATTGACTTTTTGACACCAACACCGTGCGCAACGTCATTATTATTTGTTTATTTTCTTCAATAATTTTTTTTTTATTTTACAATTTGCTCTTTTATCTCAGCCGTAAAAAATTCCAAAGAACTCATTACAGTAGGGTAAGACTTCTGAAAAATGTCCTTGTACCTAAGTTTTCTTGAGTGTTAGATGTGTCCATATACTGGTAACTTTTATCCTCAAAGAACATGTTTCTCATTTCGTCACCTTTTAATCACTTTGTGAATCACTTAGAATAAGTCGCATGCATTATGCAGTGGTACAGCTTGTGCCCTAGAGTCAAGGAGTAGGGAGGAGTTGGTCCTTACGTCGCGGGTTCGAATCCATGCACTGTGAGACGTGGACTCTGGTCCTTTTGATGAAACCGTGGTCCAGTATCGCAGTTAATGACTCGAAAAAGACCAATGGAGTAGCTTATCTGGATTATAATTAAGGAACTATTATCAATGTCTCACAATAACTTTGTATAACTGTGTAGATAGTTGTGTGTCACGTTCACTTTGTATGTCTGTTTAGCTGTTTAAATAGTTTTGTGTCACGTTTTTTGTATGTCTGTTTAACTGTGTATATATAGTTGTGGATTTTGGAACACTAATGAGTATGTGAGATAATATAATTATATATTTGCGACTTCTATCTGTGTGTACCAATCTCTCTCTCTCTCTCTCTTGTCTTTATAGCTTACATTTTCACCTAATAATACGATATGCACAATACGGAATATGTGTAATTTGGGACTTATATAGTCAATCAAGTTACTGTCTTTCTAACCATCGTTTCGTATCTCTGGTAAACTGTTTTTAATATTAGTTAAATATTTCCATATAGAGAGTTTGAATCCCCCACCACTCAACACTAAAACAGTAAAGTTTTTAGGACAGATAGTATGTATACTTACTAGTATTTAGGATTTGGATATAATCAAAATTGAAGCTTTAGAACAGCACCATCCATTTTGATTTATACAAATTTTCTCAATTTTAATCTCATTACTGCGAAACATGGAAAACTTGTAATGAAATAATTAAATCTATAGGCCTGGGTTAAATTTTACTTAAATATTCAATGTTTCGTTAGTCAAATCTGTGTTTTGTTTTCAATTTAACTTTATTCACGTTTCATGTTGAAATTTTTTAATACAGGATGGTAGTAAATACAAAATTTACAACATTTAATTTAAGTTGTCATGAGTTTTGAATTTACAACATGACACATGTATCATAAAGGACTTCACCTAAAGGATGATGTAGGATTCTTATTTCATATTCATGTCTGCTTTCTGTTGATAATTATCTGCATATTCAATGCAATAAATTACAGGCTATGTGAAATATTATTTGTAACATCAATGTATTACGCCGAATCAAGAATTCCGAGAGATTCCGAGGATGAACGAGCTCCGGTTACGGACTTTGCTGTTGGATCGCTATCAAACGGAATTCTTTTCCTTAGTTCACAAGATTAGTCGTCCGTTTACTGGTAAGTTTCTATTTATTATTTTATACGTAGTATAATGTTTTATTCCGAATTAACCTGGAACTTCTAGTTCCCCACACGATTGTATTTAGTAATTTAACGGATAAAATGGATATAACGCTTGAGCACATGGCTACATTTAACTAGCATATATATTACATTTTATTTACTATTCATGTGTAGTAATGCCATTTTGTCAATTTATAGTATACGTTATTATCATCATTTAACATTTGATACATTTTGTTTAACAATTTAATAGCTTTATTTGTTTGCAAATTGTTAAAAAAAAAACAGAAAAGTTTTTTTTATCCTTATAAATATTTCCATTCAAATTTAAATGAACCTATTAAATTTGTGTTTTTCCGTATGACTAATAATAAACTTGTGTTGCGCTTTTTGATTTTTTTTTCTTCATGGAATGAACTAAGACATTTTGGCAACATGTGTGAACCACGCCGCATTCCTAGCCTGTGAATCTATTTAGCGCATGCATAAGACAAAACACACGACTGCACGTGCGCTATGAGGGTAATAAGCAATTTACACGTGGTTTGTTCAATAAACTTGGTATGTTTCGTGTTTTTCCTCTGAATTTATCATGATTTTTATATTCAGCCGCGGCATTTTCCTTATTAAACTTTATATAGTTTATCAAAGTAAAAAAATTCATATAAATTGGATAAAATTATTTGACTCAAGTTCACACACAGGGTGTGTTGGAGAGATCTCTAAGCAATTAAAAAAATCAATTTATTTCATAGGCGTCGGAAGCAAATTAAAAGAGAAGGGGAGGGGATAAACCAAACAAAATGTAAGCCCTTCTACGATAAAATCATTCCCAATGTCTTGTTCCGTCGCCTATGCCATGTCCTTACCATCGGATAAAATGCCTTATTCATGAATAGCCTATGTCAGCTCTATATTTCCAGGAATCCTATGTCATTCTTGTAAATCACCTTTAATAATATTTTGTGCCTATTTTTTAGGGACACCATGCTATTCTAACAACCTCGCCTGCCATCCTACTGTTGGAGATATGCGAAGTGCCCTGAAAGTGAAAATACAAAATGCCATTAATTCAGCAATTCTTGTTGAATCTGAGGACCGGGGGATATTTGTAGGGGGTCGGAGGAGAAACAGGAAGAAGAAAAGAAGCAAACATGGTAAACACGAATGACAATAGATTTTATATGAAAAAAAATGTAAAATAGCAAATTTCGTGGGGTCAAATTTTCGTGGTTCCATGAAAAAATATGGGTTCACGGATGAAGATTTTTGTGAGGAGTAATTTCTGTGAAAAATTACATTTCATGGTGAACATACATTCTTTTTGTAACACGAAAACCACGAAAGCGATTTCACAGTAATCAAAATATACATATTTTCATCATACTTTGCGGTACATTTTTTTAATTAAAATTGACCTTGAACCTAACACTAATTAATTTAGACAATGAACTTGACAACCATTTTAAAATCCCAAATAAAAGTTATCTCTCTTATCAGAGGTATAATAAACCTTAATCCGGCAAAGCATTTTATGATTTAATTAAATACATGTGGGAGTAAATTTTTGTCATTTATTCTTATCAATAATTTTAAAAATGAAATTAAACAACTATGATAGCAATTCCATATTATATATTAATTTGATAAGTTAATTAGTTAAAACAGAAAAGAAGAAAACGAAGAGGTCAGAGGGCGGAAGGGGATCCCCCAACATGACGGAGAAAAACAACAAAGGTAACGTCATCACTAATAATAGATTTTTGTGTTTTATTCCTGAATATTTTTTATATTACCGTCTTTAGCAATAACTTTAAACTATATACACCTATCGGGTCGTATTTCTCTTAAGTACTTAGTTCTTGTATGCCTAGTTCTTGCAATGGACACATGAGACAGGAAATTCATAGTCCTCGGACTGTAACCTTTTCAAGTCTGAATAACGTCTACCAACGGATCTATAGACTGGGTTGTTTAACATCGGATCTATAGACTGTGTGTTGTTTAACATCGGATCTATAGACTGGGTTGTTTAACATCGGATCTATAGACTGTGTGTTGTTTAACATCGGATCTATAGACTGGGTTGTTTAACATCGGATCTATAGACTGGGTTGTTTAACATCGGATCTATAGACTGGGTTGTTTAACATCGGATCTATAGACTGTGTGTTGTTTAACATCGGATCTATAGACTGGGTTGTTTAACATCGGATCTATAGACTGGGTTGTTTAACATCGGATCTATAGACTGTGTTGTTTAACATCGGATCTATAGACTGTGTGTTGTTTAACATCGGATCTATAGACTGGGTTGTTTAACATCGGATCTATAGACTGGGTTGTTTAACATCGGATCTATAGACTGTGTGTTGTTTAAAGTCCCATTCCTGAATTTTTCATTCAAATATAGTGACTCTCTTCCAAGGATAATGGTTATAATAAGAAAGGCCATTTGGCCAGCGAAGTCTTAAATAAATGTACATTCATTTTATTTCATATCTTAAGGAAGAAAAACAAAACAAGAAGCAGGCATATGGAGATTTTCTTACATTTGCAGCCATTGCTGATAATGTCTTTTTTCTACATAACGGAGAGTTGTCTTTCCTTCAAATGCTTTGTTCAGTGACAAAGGATATGAGATGAGAAATGAGATATCACAAAATGAAAAGTGAAATTACACATATGAGATGTGAGATTACAATTTTAAAAAGATATGAGATCACACAAATTAGTTATGAGATCACACAAATGAGTTATGAGATCACACAAATGAGATGTGATATCACACAAAAGACATATGTGAGGTCACAGTAATGAGGTGTGAGCTGACACAAGAGAAACGAGCCAGCTTACAAATGAAATGTGAGATCACAAACGAGATGTGAAGCCCAATACTCAGTAAATAAAATAAGCACAGGTTTTCTCGATTTTTTTTTTCAAAAACAGCTGCATAATTAAGGAAATGATATGATCATATATCTAAAGAGGTTACATTTGGAATTTAAAAATTAAGGTAAGATATCAACCAATGTGTGTTTATTTAAACTTTTAGATTGACTGGTGTATTTTATGTATATGCGTATAATGTTGCATACAAAATATTGTAATCAATATAAAATTTTGGACTTAAAATCGACTATTGGACTATTTCAAATTTTGAACTACATACCATACCTATAGGTCTCGGCTACTTGTCAGATATAAACGTTATATAAGTATTATATGTTCGTACATCTGAAACACTGGGCCTGCTTATTTGATAATTCGTCAATAAAATGTGTAACACTGGCGGGCAGGCAACAGCTGTATCCTTGTTATGTTTGTATACAAGGTAAGGCTTAAATTCCTCTATATACCAGGTGCACTACCTGTACTGACGGACAAACACCTCTACAAAATAAACGTAAGTTCATAGGTCTAAGTTTTTTATGTAAAAAAAAATGCAAAATAAAATGGCTTTATTTATCAATTTTGCTTCCTTTTTTTTAAAGATCCACCTAAATTCGTTATCTAGTTGTATATGCCTACAATGTTTTGACTATCGTCAGAGGTCTATACATATAATAATTATTATTTTGTACCGGTATTTACATCTAGGTCTTGCAATGCTTTAGGTGTCGATGCATCATAAAACACGTACAGGGATCCAGTATAAGACAAATGTTTTCTAATTTAGCAACATGTAAAAAATCAATATGCTGCATTGCAATTTGTATCTTTGATGATAAAATAGAATTAAATTGGCTTACATATTGGTGACGATCCCAAATAAAATCTATGCACAGCTGTCTTATTAATGCACAAAATATATCCTCATTTGCGTTGTCCAAAAGAAACTCATTTGAGTTGTCCAACAGATCAGTGAAATTTTGTCTTTCTAAAATTTTAGTTGTCCAAGAGACATCAATGGAAGATTTATCTGTGTATCATTTTTTGTTACAGAAATCAGAGATTTGTTTACTCTTTATCACCTCAGTTGTCCAACAGAATTTAGTAAAAATTTTGTTTCTCTTAATCATTCCAGTTGTCCTACAGAAATCGGTAGAAGAAGACACCAAACCTCTGATCGAGTCGGGATTCTGTGACAGTATTATCTCCCTTGACGACGTACTTGGCCTTGACCTTGAGGAAGAAGAAGAGGAGGGGATCCCGCCCCTGGTGGAAAGTGGAATCAGCTTCGGTCCCCTGGTGCAGTATACGTATGCACTTCCAAACATCACAGACTTCATCGAGCAGATAGAATCTAACGACGTAAGTGTCTGAAAATAGATTGTGGTAACGCATCAATTAATAACATTTTTTAGAATATATATACAAGCAGGTACCTTTATATTAGTATATAGTACAAGTCCCCTAAAATTTATTACGAATATTGTTGAGTAGATCCTTTTGTTTTGATATTTTTTTTTTTATTCATATATCAAAAGTTGTCAAAAATGCACACTATTAAGCTCGGCTAAGAGTACATTGTAAGCTCAACTGGACACTCAGACCATGAGTTTCAGTGAGAAAGGCATTTATTTATAGTTTTTATATACAATAATTTTCGGTTGTACATACACAGATGCCGTTATTTAAAAAGAAACAACCACAGGAGGACGTTGAACAGCTGCAAGAAAAATCAAAAGAACAAGGCAACACTAACGAAGAGTCAGAGGAACGGAAGGTGGAAATCAGAGAAGACAATTCAGAACAAACCAAGAAACCGGAAACGGAAGATGTAAACCAAAGCGAGGCTAGAGAAAAACCTGACTCCTCCCCGCAGGATGGGACGGTAGGTGGCACTAGCTTTCCAACAGAGGATGGCGAGGCGACGCCAGCAAATGGCGAAGTTAAAAATCAAGAAACAACTCTAGAAAAGACAGAAACAGTGGATAAACAGACGATGGTTGAGGATGGCGTCACCACAAAATACGAAAACGAGGTTGATGGTGTAGTCATCGAAACAGAGCAGGTAAGTTTATTTACTGGTCTATCTGAACTTAACTCATCCCGTACATCAATCTTTCACAACCACTATTATTAAAAAAGAATTGGTTCTGCATCGAAAAGATCAAATTTGACATTTTTTTTCATTCGCTATATATGTATCTGATTCTGCTAGATTCTCTTATTATGTTCCCCAAACGAAGTTGGGGAACATATTGTTTTTACTCTGTTTCTTATTATTATTATTATGTTCCCCAAACGGAGTTTGGGAACATATTGTTTTTACTCTGTTTCTTATTATGTTCCCCAAACGAAGTTTGGGAACATATTGTTTTTACTTTTTCTGAATTTTTTCTTTGTTCTCCGGTACTTTTTTGTCCGCGAGTGTTCTCGTAAACTACTCATCCGATCTAGGTGAAACCTTTTTAGGGTCACTAGGTATGTTATGTAGATGTGCGGAACGAAGGTCATTTTGCGCGCACGTGCGTGCATGTGCGCGCACGTGTAACACGTGAAATGACCAATATAATAGATTTAGCCGTAACTTTTTAAATATTGGATGAAATGCTTTGAAACTCATAATATAAGGATATGATGGTAGTATAGACATGATGACATGGTCAAAATAGCAAGATCTCACGCGCATGCAGGTGCCCTT